TGTGTGTGATGGCCAGTACTCACGCGTTTGCAGATCGCAGCACGCATGTTCTCCATTTCCGCCTCGATGCTATCATCGAACAACTCAGGCCTTGGAAGCCTCTTAGCCGCTGCAATTGCACGCGGTTTGTGTGCCCTCTTGGCGGCCTCGACAATATTGCTACCGTAAATGTTCTCCCAGCCTTGCTTTCTCGCCCAGTCTGGCCAGTCAAAGTCTAGAGGTATGGTCAGAAGTGCCTGAACGCCAAAGTAAGTCTACGTACCCGAGATATCATGGCAAAGGCTTGCCAATGGCTCGATTGTTTGGGGTTAGGGTTATGAGTCGATTTCGACACCCTAGGTTGGTCTAGGTTGGTCAAAAGACCTAAGCCTAGCAGGCACCTAGCCCTCTTCCATTGCACACCACAGCAATGCATGTGAACATCAATCATGCCGCACACGATGTGCAGCACACACAATGCATGCCGCAATGACAAATGCTGTGCAACGTGGGCGCGCCTTGCGCTGCGCGATCTGCACGACTCCGTGCCGCGCGACAAATGTGCGTCATTGCCGTACGTGTGCACGGCCCTCCTTTGCAAACCCACCATGTGCGACGCGGGCGCGCCTTGCGCTGCGCGATCTGCACGACTCCGTGCCGCGCGACAAATGTGCGTCATTGCCGTACGTGTGCACGGCCCTCCTTTGCAAACCCACCATGTGCGACGTGGGCGCGCCTTGCGCTGCGCGATCTGCACAACTCCATGCCGCGCGACAAATGTGCGTCATTGCCGTACGTGCGCCTGCCACTCCTTTGTCGTGCTCACTGTCGGGCCCGCAATCATGCTTGCAGTATAGCAGACGATGCGCTACTCAATTGTGAATACAGTAGCACAGAAACGAGCGGTCGCACATTACTTCTTGCTAGTTACAGTCGTTGCCTTCATGGCCGCTGACTGATGAGTAGCCCAGACATGACCTGGTGCAGAATTTGGACCAGACAACTGATCGGTTTCTTCATACTGTGAAACAGTCAGAAGACTGTTTCACAGTATGAAGAAACCGATCAGTTGTCTGATCCGAATTCTGCACCAGGTCATGTCTGGGCTACTCATCAGTCAGCGGCCATGAAGTAGGGCTTGATCATTTTAGGTGTGTCAGTCGCACATTCACCTGGTAGCATGCACCTTAAGGGTGTGCGCCATTATCGTACACTGTCGGTGGAGCAGCTGGGTGGTTTGGGTTGCATTGCGATTGTGCTGACTGGTTTCATCATAATTTGAGCCAACGCGACATTGCGATTACCACGATCGACCTTGATGGAGGACCCTCCTGCAAGCTAGGACATTGTCGCACAGGGAAAACAGCGCTGTAACGCTTGTGCGATTGGCAGATGACTCGGTCGCAGGCCAACTGCGCGGTGTGCGGCATTATCGTACACCGTCTGGGGAAAGACCATGTGGGGTGGTTCGGTATGCATTGCGATTCCAACAGACGGGAGTCATATTGATTTGGACCGATACATCTCGATCGCCGGGATCGCCCGCCGGCGGGGCGGGTGCCTTGTTTTGGCACAATCTGGCGGGTTGAACTTTCCTGGCTAATGCACCATCCCGTGGGGAGAACGTTCAGCTCATGGTGCCTTGGAGTTTGCCCAGATGTCGTTTTCAAAGTTTAGCCGGTTCTGTCTATATGAACCCCCTGTCTCAGCGCAGAGTCACCCTCCCCTCCCCCCTCTCCTCTTTCCCCTCATTGCCTCACGCCCTCAGTTTGCAGCGCACAGACATGGCGCCATGGACGTCGTCTCAGACGTTCTTCGACGTGATGGTGTCGCAAACCGACTTGGTGAGCCGGGGTGCGTGGCAGATTCTTACGCGGTCGGACGGCGGTCTGCCCTGGGAAGATGGTCATGTCCCTACGACGTGGCTTGAGGGCCATCAACCCAAGCTCGCCAAAGTGAGGTCGTTTGTGTCGCGCTACAAGGCGATCAGCACCGAGATGGCGAAGCGCGACGCGCTGAGGACAAAGGCAGACAGTGACAGCGAAGGTCGCACTGCGGTGCTTGGCTGGATTGACCGTCAGCAGAAGACCAAGTGGGACGTCCGTGCACGTATTCTGGATGTCCTCGAGGAGTACGACTATTCACCATACCAGTGTATGCGCACACTTGGTGCCAAAGAGGTAAGTGCGATTCAATGCGACATAGGACTACCGTAGTCGCTAACAAGTTTCTGTCGCAGCTGGGAACTGCCGATGAATGCGCTGTGTACACTGTGACCTCGCAGATCGTCGGAGAGTTGTTCGGCGATGACGCCGTGCGTAACGGAACGCATCCTGAGCCATGGGCGCACAGCGCCGTTCGCCGGCTCATCCAGATCATGTGGAAGACCGAGAGGACGCGAATCAAGCGGGAGATCAATTCTTTGGAGGCCTTTGCGGAGAAGGTGAACGAGAAATGGGAGGGTAAGTCATGTTTCGTGTACGGTGTTGCTGTGCTCACGGCAGCGACAGCCGTGCAGTCGAAGAAGAACTTCAACGTCGCAGTGAAGGCGTACGCGAAGCAGCTTGCTGAGAAGGTCGAACTTGTGAAGAAGATCGACAACCCGCTCGTAACCCCCAACTGGAAAGGTCACATCGAGAAGGTGGAAAGGATTTGCGAGCAACTTGCTGATCAGTTGCAGGCAGTGAAAGGTATGCAATTTATGCGATTGCGCTCGTTGCATAGCTCATATTGTTTGCAGGCCTTCCAAAGACTGTCATCGAAGCCATTCAGCAGCTCGCGACCGAGGAAGAAGTGCAAGAGTTGCAGCTGAGCATCTCGCAGCTACTCGAGAAGGTCGATCCTGATCAGGATGAGGAGTTTGCGTTCGCTGGCAGCAATATCGCAAACGAAGGCTGGAATTCAGGTGTCGAACATTACCAACAGTGCACGCTGGACGAGGTCTGGGCCATGCTCGGTCGAGGTACCGAGAAGACCATCCCGTTTTTCAACACGGTCGAAGCAACGGAGAGTGGAGCGGATCCGTGGTCGGTGCAAGGGATCTTGGCTCTCCAGGACGGTCCAACGCAGCCTCTTGTGCCGCACTGGCACCAACTGGTTGGGATCTTGAAGATGCTCGACAATTTCCTCGCTGGGAAGCCGATCCTGCTTGTGGATGGAGTCGGAGTCGGAAAGACGATGCAGGTCGTCGGCGTGATCTGCTTCCTTGCGTTTTTCCATGATCACTTTGAGCGCAATGGATACTTCCCCGGAAAGTACAGTAAGTGAGGTCACGACACGGTCCTTGCAGTCGCTCACAGGCCGTTGTCAGAAACGACCACGTTCAAGGGAAACGGGAACGTTCCCAACGCACCCCATCTCATTGTCGTCCCCGTCTCCCTTGAGTATCAATTCCGACTCGAGATCCATCGCTATGTGCAGGCGAAGACGTTCGACATGATGTCATACTCGTCGATTATTCGCGGCGAGAAGAGCGAGAAGTTTTGGACCATTGTCAACAACTTCAAACAGGCTCCCATTCGGCAGATCATCCTGGCGACCAATCCGGTAAGCGTGCGACTGACAGTCTGAAACGCGTCACTAATTGTGTTGCAGGCTGTGGCCAAGGACGGGTCGTCAATCTACAACAAGTGCACGAATCCAAAGTGGGGCCCTGGAACACAGAAAAAGGGCCCCGCGTTTGAGGCCGACAAGGCGAGCTCGGTGTTCAGTCGCCAATGGTGTCTCATGATCTGCGACGAGATCCACGACCATCGCAAGACGAACAACACCTTTCGTGCGATTCGCATTCTTCGGGACCAAGTCGGCGGGGTGATCGGCATGTCTGCGACGCCCACCATTACCACGCCAATGGTAATGTCTGCCATGTCATAGTAGACAGACCTGTACTGACTTGCACGCAGGACCTTGTCATGATCGGCAGGCTGCTTGGAGTACCTCTCTGCGGCGACCAGTATACCGACGTGCTCAACGCGCACAACAGAGCACTCAATCGCGCCATGAGCAACGACCGTGCCGAGCGTGCTGTGGAAGGCGACCTCGCCCGGCTTGCCGCGGTCAAGGGAGAGGGCGACTCCATGGAGGTCTCACTTAGCCAGACCGCCACTGTGGTGATGCAGATCACGGCCGATCTACACATGCGATTCGCCGACCAGGTCCTTCATCGCACAGTCAACTCGATAGACTGGGAAGGCAAGCCCATCAGTGGACTCCCGCCCGCGCATGACATCGCACTCCTGCTGCGACTGTCCATAATCGAGGAGCAGGTGCTCAACGATGTCACGACCGAGGCTGGAGAGGCCATGGAAGGCAGCAGGAAGGCTGAGGCAAGCAAGGTGTGTTCCAATTCACTATTCTACAGTGCGACTTGAGCGTCATTGCCGTATACACACCGGTCCAACCTGGTCCAAGTCGTGTGGGTTGCATGGTGAGACGTGGGTATGCGGCAATGACGCATGCCACTCTGTGCGACTGCCAGTGTGCGTCTGTCCAACTGCGCTGATGGTATGCGACAATGCCGCATGCACGCTTGTCGGACATGGCACGTTACCTGTAGCCAAGAGCCAGGGGACGGGCGCATGCGACATTGTCGCGTAATCGCGATTGCGACAGCCATTTTTCACACAACTTCAGTAAGACCGCGATGTTACCATATGTACTCACACCTATCCAGGCCTTTTACATCGACCTTCGGCGGGCGATGTTTCACATCTCCCTCTCCAAGAGTGCGCCGGAGAACATCACCATTCCTGAGACCGTCAAAGACTTTGAAGCGATGCCCACTGCAAAGCTCCGCGCGCTGCTCGACATCCTCCAATACCATCTGTCTAACCAGAAGGCACCTCCGTTGAACATCAAAAAGGAATATCGGGGCTGCAGTTCATCGTCGCTCCCACCGTTTCCTGAGCCGAACAAACTGTATCCAATGGAGGACTTTGAGTACGAAAGGTACGGTGGCGATGGTCCGGACAAGATCATCATCTTCTCGTTCTTTCCCTCGAACAACGTTGTACTCGAATCTGTGAGTGTTGACTGAAGTTTATACACCGGTCGCTCATTCTGCTGCAGTTGCTCAACGCATACGGCATCAAAACGGTCTACGTCCATGGCCAGATGAGTGCAAAGAAGCGAGCTGAGGCAATTGCCCAGTTCCGAAACTCTGATATGACTGGTCCCCGTGTCCTTGTTATGTCTGGCGTTGGGGCAACGGGACTCAATCTCGCGTGGGCCAACATTATGATCTTCATTGTGAGTGTGCCGACACTGCGATTGCGACTGCGACTGGTGCTTATGCCAGACAGGATACTATGTGGTCTGCCCAGGAAGATGAGCAAGCCATCGGTCGCATCCTTCGCTTTGGACAGCTGCGCGACGTGTTCATCTACCGACTCATCAACCGCGACACTGTGGACGTTATCCTGAACAACATTGCTTTCGAGAAGGGGATCATGCATGAAGCGTTTGTGAAGGCAAACTACAAGCTCCGTATGTATCGCCTTTACTTCATCGCGCACAAGGTTAACCTTTTATACAGAGGATGCCCTGAAGCGAATGTTAGGTCCACATCTCGCCGACTTGCAAGATGCAATAGCTGCCCAACAAAGTCAAAGAGAAATCAGTCAAAATCCGGAAGAACAAGTGTCTGACGATGAAGAAGACAGCCCTCAGGAACCTCCGCCAAAATCGAAGCGTAGCCGCAAGGGTGCAAAGAATGAGGCTGCGACCACGACCAAGGCTGCGACCACGACCAAGGCTGCGACTGCGACCAAGGCTGCGACTGCGACCAAGGCTGCGACTGCGACCAAGGCTGTGTCCACGGCCAAGGGAGACAAAAAGTCTAGTCGCCGCAAAAGCAAGGCCGGCGACACCGCGGAGAAAACCAGTGGCAAGTCCAAGGACATCCTCAAGTCGACTCACAAGAAGGGTGTGAAATCATCCGCAATCGTCATGGACTCCGATGACGAGGGAGGTTCCAGCACACCCAGCCCTGCGACTACAACGGCGACGGCGACGGCGACAACACCTGCCACCACTGCGACGACTGCAACCACTGCGACGACAGCCGCCACCTCGACGACTGTTGCCGCTCCGACGACTACTGCCACTTCGACTACGACTGCTGTTGGCGGAAGACAATCACCAATGGACTTTGACGATGGTGACAATGGTATGGACTGGCCGGAGGAGATGTCCTCGCAGACTCAGCCGACACAGCCAGCAGTCCCTATGCCGCCATTGACTCCCGCAGTTGTGATGGCTTCGACGACTACTGCCACTTCGACTACAAGCACTGTTGGCGGACAACAATCGCCAATGGACTTTGACGATGGTATGGACTGGCCGGAGGAGATGTTCTCGCAGACTCAGCCAACACAGCCGGCAGTCCCCATGCCGCCATTGACTCCCGCAGTCGTGATGGCTCCACCTCCAACTGCAATAGAGAATCCAACGGCTCTAGCACCGCAGTCGCAGACCGCGCCAGACTCTCCGAACGCAACGCAGCCCAATTTTCCTAGCTCCACGGCAAAGACTTCCGCTGGACCACGGCTCTCAGAGACACCCCCACCACCCTCACCGACTCAGCGCTGGCAGTCGCTACCGGCACCTGTCATGCGCACGCCGTCGCCGTCGGAGGACTTTTGGAAAAATAGTCCGGACTTCGAGATCTTGGATCACCCATCCAGTCACACCGGGGATGGTGGCGACAAAAGTGGGGACACAACAAGGGCACCCTCTTTGGTGCACTCGCGTGTGACACGTAAGTTCAGTGATTGTTCAGCGTTCAAGCTATCTAATTCTACCAATAGCGTCGCTAACTCCTGGACCGAGCGCGACTCTACGGTCCACAGGGTTTGAGCCACCTTCGCAGAAAACAACCATGTTGCGGGGAAAGCCGCAATCGCAGGCCCACCCTCCTGCCGAGAAGAGTGTCGCCGGAAGCAAGCGTCCAGCGAGTTATAGTCCTGAACCTCCACGCCGTCCTCGTTCGGTCCGTCCGCCTGTGCCATTGAACCGCCTCGGCCACTCAGCAACCCAGACTGACCGTGACCGTCAAGAGCGCAAGCCGGCGGGTGGTGCCAAAGTAGAGAAGGTAGCTAGGGGTCGCAAGTAATGGAGGTTTGCTCCCCATTTCATCCATTATGCTTCTAGAAATTGCATTCAAACACTGTACAACCTGTAATCGCAATGAAAGGTGTTTGATGTGTTAGCACTGAGGAGCCAAGCACCGTCCAACAGTCCTCAAAGTCGGCGCAGAGCTGCGCGATCACTTCAAAGGAAAAATGGTCGCAATGGATGACTATGGCCACATACGCTGCACGCAGACTGTGGGGAAGTGCGGAGCCGCACTCTGAGCGACGGACGGCACATGGGCCGCTCCATATTTTGTGACAATACACGCCCACCAGGATACGGCAATGCCGCATACATACATGCCCCTCTCTCCACGTAACCCTAAAGTCACGTCGTGTCAGTTCAGTCACTGCTGCTGTATGCGGCAATGTCGCACACAGTGCTAGGGCTTCCCAGTCTACTTCTCTGTCAAAGCAATATGTTTGGAAATAGCGAATCAGGACTGTATCTGCCATTCCCGAGGTTTCGAATATCAGCGGTGTTGTCCCCTCCTGTTTGTTTGTTTGTTTGTTCCCTTTATTGTCACTGAGGGCGTAGCCCTATGTAGACATAAGATGTACGTAGTGTAGAGTCCGTTGGTTGTCTAATGAATCACTGAGTATGCTCGAGCACCGTCGAGATAGGGGATATTAGTACAGTATGAGGCAGGGTATAGTAGGTGGTGTGTGCGTCGTAGTAGTCGATCGCCGTAGGCGATCATTTCCGTTCGCTGTCTCGTAGCGTGAGCTCGCCGTACGTGGCCGCGAAGCGGCCTGTAGCGTGGATGTAGCGGAACAGTGGGCTCAACGCCTTCGGCTCGGTCAGAAGGTGGCGGACCGACCCCGCAACGGCGGGTCCAAGGTCGTGCGCTAGCCTCGCGCGTTGGTCGTCGTGCGCCGGGCACTCAAGCAGGTAGTGGTAAACTGATTCGCGTGCTGTGTCGCAGTTCGGGCAGGTGGGTGAGTCGACCTTCTTAATACGGTGGAGATGCTGCTGCAGTGGTGCGTGCTCTGTCCGCAGCTGGAAGAGGATGCTTGCGTGACGTCTCGGCAGCCTCTCGACGAGCTTCCCGTATTTCCGCGAGGGTAAGTCGGGATCGACTCTGTCCATGCGTTCCGTCCTGGGGGAGGTTCTCCACTCCGCTCTCGCCTTCTCGCCTAGTTCCTCGTTGAACGTTTGGCGTACCTTCGCCAAGCTGATTGGCAGGCTGGCCCTCAGCCATCTAGGCAGCTGGGCTGCTGCGCTCCCTTCTCCTCTCGCCGCTCTCTTCGCTTCTTCGTCTGCCATCTCATTCCCCTCTACGCCCTTGTGTCCCGGGACCCAGCGCAGCGTGAACTTGATGCCGGGGTGACGTCGGTGGAGGTTGTCGACTTCGCGGAGGAGCTTGTCGATAAGGTAGTGTCCTGGGTGCGGTTTACGGTTCTTAGAAGCCTGGAGGCAGGCTGTGTTGTCGGCTGCGCAGGATGCGACTCTGGCGCTGAGCTCGCGAGCGATGAGGGTGACTCCAAGCACCAGTCCGACGATCTCGGCCTCGTAAACGGTGTGGTGTTTCGCACTTCCTAGGTGGTATCGTAGGACCTTGGGCTGTTGTCCTGGGCGGAGAAGGACCGCCGCCGCTCCTACGCCTCCGTCAACATCTGATCCATCCGTGTACACGTGGGGTCCCGGTTTGTACGCCCATTTCTCCTCCTCCTCCAGGGCCGCGTCCTTGTTCTCCGCCATGGAGACGTTGAAGGGAGGACGCCATCCCGGCGGGAGCCGGACAGCGTCGATGGTCTCAATCTCCATAGGTCGCAGCTTGTAGGCTTCGAGGGTCTCGTGTAGGGGACTCCGATGCCGTTGTACATATCTTGCTGCGGCCTGTTTGACGTGGCGATGGAGTGGGTGTGTCGGGGGGAGGGTGCATAGTCTAGAAACTTCGCGCATTATCATTTTATCGACGAGGAGATGGAAGGGGAGAAGATTCAGGTGCGCTTCCATCACGTCTGTTGCGGTCGTTCTCATCGCTCCAGTCATCATGATGCACGCCTGGCGGTGTACCCTTGCCAGTTTGCGTATGACTCCGACTGAGCCGTACAGCCGCTGACGGTTCTCTATCGCTCTCTGTGGAGTGATCCACACGCTCGCCGCGTAGAGCATGCCTGGCAACAGCATCTGCTGGTACAGGGACTTGACGTGGCGTAGTGATATTCCGCCCTTCGGGCGTGCCAGCCGTCCAAACTGCATCAACCAGGTTGTACCCTTCTTCAGGGCGTACTCAGCTTGCCTCTTGAAGCTGAGCTTCCGATCAATCCAAACACCCAGGAACTTTGCAGCGTCCGTGGGTTGGACAGTTCCATCCGAGAGGACTAGAGGGGGTCCCATGTCGTTTGCCCCAAGGCTTGGGTCCGCATGCACAAGGTTGAGCTTCGAGATTTCGAAGCGAGAGTTCCTTGTGCGGGACCAGTGCTTTGCACCACCGCGGCGCTCCATGTAGCTCTTGAGCGCCGCTGTGGTGCTTTCGAGAGTCTTCCCAATCGTGACAGCTGCCACATCGTCAATGAACCCCAACGCCATCTCGCCGTTCTGCGCGTTTGCGCACTCGAGCAGCACCAAGTTATAGATCTTGTAGAGAAGCACTGAGAGCGGGCAACCCTGGTCGATGCCGCTTAAGATCACGAACAGCTCCGAGACAAAATCGTCAAATGACAACTTTGTTCGTCTCCCGTGGAGTTTGCGGCGCAGCCATCCCACGATCGTCTCTGGTATGCCCAGTCTGCGCATCTCATGGAACAGGCGTTCAGGGATCGCACTCGGGAAGGCTGCCTCCACGTCTAAGAAGAGTATGGAGGCAACCTTCTTGGTTCGCCACGCATCGTAGACGGTTTTCGTGAGCAGGTGTAGAGAGTCGGTCGTTGTACGACCGGCTCGGCCACCGAAGTGGTGCTTGGGTAGCAACCCGAGCTTCTCGAGCTCGAACTCGACCATCTCTGTCACGCACGATGAGAGGATCTTGCCCATGCAATTCATGAGCGCGATGGGGCGGTAGGACTTGGCGATAGAGTAATCACTGCGCCCTGGCTTTCGCAGAACCACCGTGATCGAGTGTTTCCACCGATCCGGGTAGTATTGCAAGTCGAACGTGGCACGGAAGAGCGGACCCAGAATTGGCACGAGTAGATCTGCGCACCTTTTGTAGACCTCGTTCGGGACCCCGTCGGGTCCCGATGCTTTGAACTCCTTCAGACGGTGGCATGCGTCGTGAATTTGCTCATTCGTGACGTGCGCAAACTCAAACGCGTTTGGTGGGAAGGGATCGTCGTCGGGTGGCTCGATGTCGGGAGGGGGCTGCGGGAAGAAGGTTTCATACAAGATCTTGCTCTTGGCTTCATTCTCCTGCTCGAGCACGGTGCTGCCCGGGCGACGGAGAGCGGGTACCCTGCTCTTGCTGCCGTCCGACGAACCTGCGCGGATGTACTTGCCAACCGTCCAGACTGAACGTGTGTCCGCTTCCTCCAACCACGCGTCCCAGTGCGCACGCTTGGCCGACCGGATCTGATCACCGTAGCGGTTGCGGAGGGACCGGTATTCCCGGTGGATGGGGTGGTCCGGGAACTCCCGTAACTTCCAGGCTCGTCGCCCGAGTCGCCCTACCTCCCGGCGCAGGTTGTTGAGCTCCTTGGAGTACCATCGCTTGGCGAAGGGAGGCGGTTTCGTTTCCGGTACGGTCTCTTCGATCGTTTCGGTGAGTGCATTCATTAGGGCATCAAGGATCGTGTTAAAACTCTCCTTCGTGGGTATCCCCTTCTCAACGTCTGGGAGATCCTGCAGGCGGAGCACCAGCTTCGTCCGGAACTCGGGCCATTCGACCTTGCGGAAGTTCCTAAACGTCCTTGGCGTGGAATGCGGGAGATCCAACTGGAGAGTGGTCACCACGGGAAAGTGGTCGGTGGCGGGTGGGCGGAGGTCCAGAGCTGTCCTGCATTCCAGGAGGCTGTCGGCCAGGCCTTTGGAAGCGAAGACGTTATCTGGGCGAGTAAGGTTCTTAGTATTCATAGCTTCCAGGGTGGGGAT